AGCCGACGGGTGTGCGGGCCACTTAGTTTGTCATTCCGATGGCCGATGAGTACACGGGCAACTTGGAACTGGCTGGTGAGTGCGCGGGCCAATTGGAGGTGGCCAGTGAGCGCACGGGACGCTTGGTTCGTCGTTCCGGTGGCCGGTGAGCGTACGAGCCATTTGGCGGTGGCCGGTGAGTACGCGGGCCATTCGGACAAATCCTGTTGACTTGGATGATGACATTTGTAGCCTCTCATTCGTCTCGAGCTGTATACGAGAACCTATAGGTATTTTTAGATGTCTACAATGATTAACGTCCTAACTTCTGAAGTGATCTACAAACAAACTCCAGAGGATGAAGATCTTTTGATTGCATCTGATTTATCTTTTTCCACCTTTGTGAATGGCAAACCCTGGAAGCAATAAAGAAAAGAAAAACAGACACGAACGGAAAATGAATATAAGAAGACCAAAAAAATGGTTATTAGGTGACATGTTCCATTAATAAGAGTTTAACGAAATACCCCAAAGTATTACAAATAAGAATAAAAACACACAAAAGAAGCCAAAGCGCTAAAATGTGGTGACAATAAGGAAATCGGGATACAAAGGGAAAGAACCAAAAAAAAATTCTAGGAATAACATCAACGATCAAAGGCTCTGTTTGGCAAAACTAGCTGAAAGCTGCGAGATTATAGCTGAAAGCTGTTAAGCTAGCCGAAAGCTGTGAAATTATAGCTGAAAGCTGATAACTGTGTAGCTAGCTGATTGACTAGAGCTGTTTGGCAAAAGTAGCTGTATAACTAGCTTAAATTTGTTAAATGACTAAAAAGAACATGTAATATTATTGATATAAAATTAGAATTATTAGGGGCAAAAATGGAAGAAAAAAATTGGCAGCTCATTCTCAAAGACAAACGCTACTTGAAGTAGCTTTCCAAAAGCTACTTGCAAAAAACACAATCTCCAAAATAATCTCCTTCTATTTTTTGTCACCAAACAGCTCTACTAGCTTATTGACCAAATCAATAAGACACAATCTCTTAGATAAGACACAATCAATTGTTGCCAAACAGTGCCAAAGTCCCCGAGAATGGCAAGACATAAAAAACTTGTAACTCCATCTCAGAGTCTTCCTCCTGACTCATGAAGGCGTCAGCTACAGCAGTGCTCCCTATACAACCTTTATTCCGATTCCTTGATTCTAATTTTCCTGGCACCAATTAAGTAGATTAATTATGAATAGACCCTTTGTAATTCTATTGTTGCGCATAGCCCTTTCAAGCCAGCCTTTTTGACTCTTTGACCCTCAGAAAAACGAGAAAAATAATTTAGACAATTAGACCCCATGAACTTTGAGAATCTATTCACAATTGAGTGATCGTACAAGGAGTCTCTCCATAACAACAGAACTACAAGGGGTCTGTCCGCAATCGGGGGATAGTAAAAGGGGTCTATCTGCGTTTTAAACCTTTTATTATGGAGGAGCGCATTTTGTCAAAAACTGATGATTACCTGAACCGAATATGATCTAGCTGTGTTGTCCTTTTTCAAAGGCACAACCTGTTCCCGCCCATTTTACCAAGTTCAAACAAAAGAAGGAGCTTTTTTGCCCAAATGAAATCACCATTTAAAAATAAAATTCGAATCATCTCCTTCTTCCTCTCCTCTCCCTTTCTCCATAGATTTAACTTAGACAACGTTCATGGCTACACAACCAACCTCTTTCGCAGGCTATTTCTCTCGACTTCCATATCAATTTCTTAACAAATATAAACTCATTACAGTACAAATTATTAACTGGGATTCAATGAATTTTTTCTTCTTCAGGCAAACGTCGGCCAGCAGCAGCAATCCAAGCAAAGAAAGACAGATACCAAGCCAAGTCTTCAACTCAACCAGCACCATCAACCAGGCAAGATTTTAGTCTAAAATCCTAAAATTCTTCTCCATCTTTAAAATTCTAATATTTTACCTTGATATTTTTAACCGCAGGCCTAAACGCGCTTTTGGCGTTGTTCGAAACAATAATATTCTCATTGAGAAACCGATCACAAAACCCTTACCGACACAACCCAGAAAGCCATTAAAGCCTTCAGAAATAACTGAAACTGATATTAAGAAAGAAACCGACCAAGAAGCAGATAACATTATCAGCAAAGAGAAGAGTTTACAGGATGAAGGAGTCCACACCCCTGCGACCTCTTTAATCAAAATTGCGTCTGCAGGAACACCGTATTTGACTGCTGAGACCTGCAGCAAGTGCAGGTTTGATAAGCTTGAGAGTTCTGCATATTGGCTTGCTCAGGTTAAAATTGCAGAGTCTACAGGGAAGCACTTTGTTTCTGCTGCTTTTTTCCGTCTTGCATTGGAGTGCCATTCTCAGGTTTTCTCTAATTCCTGTTAATTTTGGTGTATTTCTCATGTAATTTATTCAATTGCTTGTCAACGTGGCTCAACATAAATATAAAGCTATTCGTAATATATTGATCCCAAAATATCATCAAAACTTTATAAGATATCCAGTGAAAGCTACAATTGTCAAATTCATGCTTTGTAAATTATGATTTGCTTCTAGCTAGTTACCGGGACATATCAGCTTGGCTCCCGTATCCATGTCCAGCACTTTCATATTTGTGTCGGTGTCCAACACTTCTTGAATATATACGTACATTTATTCAGGACGTGTGCTCAACTATATATATTATGTGTTTTACTTGAAAACAGTTGTGATCCACTTTTTGGATGTATATCTCACACTTGACCTCAAATTTTTGCAACTCCTTGGACTTTGGTTAGGTTCATTTTAACTCAAATCGAGTTCATAAATATGATTTTAAAGGGTTATTTTGGTATCTAGTTAAAAACAAGCGATTTTCCAATTTATAATCTACTCAATAAAAGAAACATCAAAATGTTATAGGAATGTTATTCCTCATAACATGTGAATGACAAATAATAACGGTAGCATATAAATTATTGACTTCATTATGTATAAACATACGTATGTCCCTGTATCCTATCTTTCACAAAATTGTTGTGTCTTGTATCCGCACCCCTGTCCGCACCTGCATCCACGCCCGTTCACGTGCAACTTAGGCTTCTAGTATATGAATAAACTGCAAACATATTCCAAAAAATAAATGCCCAAGTTTCTTGTGGTCCCAATTCGAATTCATAGGTCAAGCTCATCATCTTAGTTTGTGAAATTTTTTGCAGAATTTTCTGGTCAACTACTAAAAACTTAAAACTTACTTCAGTTCTTTTACTCTGTACCTGCAGCCATTTCACAGTCTCCAAAAAGAGCTCAAGCATTATGTGGCACGACACAAGTCTATTTCTTCAGAAACACTGTGGAATGATCTCTGCAAAGCTTATGGATTATCAAGTGATGAAGCATATGATGATCCTCTTGATCTGGAGAAACTTGATGCTGTCTTAGTCGGGCAAGAGGATTCTGAACTTATGAAGGATGAAAGAAAGTGCGATACACTGAAAGACGAATGTTTTGCGTTCGATATCATTGATGATACAATGTGCAACATATCAGAACAAACCATCGAACTTTTGGATACTGATCTTGCAGTAATAAATGGTGATTTCATTACAGAAGAATTTGTAAATGTAAACGCGATGTCAAACTCTTCAAAAGAGAATGAGGAGGCCTTGAATCAAAAACAACAAGGACTGAAGATCTCTGGTGAGAAGCTGGCAAGAAACAGAGCTGGAGCTAAACTCAACAGGAGCATCCAGCTGAAGAACAAAGGGAAACAAGATGGGAAGCTCACTAGCTCAAGCTGGAAGTAAGTAAATCAAAGTGAAACTTTGTGCGACAACTAACATTAATAGTACTACCTTTTAACTCCATGTATTCCATCTATAGGTGATGGTGTCCCTAAAGATGCAAGCTTTAAGATGCAAGCTTTAAGTCAGGTACAAAAGACTCTATAATCACAATCGTTTATTAAATATTATGCCTTCAGTGAAATATTAGAACAAAAATACCATAGTTATATTTGAAATGAATCATAACTGTCCTAAATATATATAAATGATTATGATTTGAAGAGTGATTCTAGCTGTCAAATAAGAAACATAGAGGACCCAAATTCAAACTGTATTCGTGTGTTATTGGATACGAATTTTTCATTTTTTATGATGTTTTAGGCAGAAATTTTCTTTTTTTTTAAGGTAACATAATTGAGAATAAGAATCATCTCTTTAATCAAAACTGAAAGTTATATTCATCTTTCACAGGAGCAACATAGTGGAGGACTCCCAGGTTCCAGAACCAGTTACTTTTCGCTGCCAGAAAGTATTTGTAGGCTTTGTGTCTGGTTAGAGATTTTGGAGTGTTTAGTCGCAGGGAATTTACAGAAAGGACATTGATCTGCTTCGTTTTGTATTTTCAGCTTTCTTTTTTATTATGTAATTTGATTGAAGAATTTCTTGTGCCTCATTAAAGAAGATGATTGAAGGAATAATGAGATTTTCTAAAATACTCTTCTTCGTACATCAGCAGAAGATTAAGTACTCTCAAGCAGCTGAAAAAAGATATCAAAACTAAATACTTAAGCTGCACAAAATTAAAAATAGTCCTCTCCAACTCGTTTCTTGAATATTTATGTGCTGAATTACTCTTGTACAAGGTTTTACTCTCATGGTCAGCTAGTTTGCACCCCCATGCAAAGCACGACTCCCTATTTTTTTAAGTATTGCATTTTGAACTTACCTCTCTCTAAATTTTAATACAGTTAATTTGATTATTGTATGCTTAAAATTATAAATTATATCTACTCTTCTATACTTAAAGGATGATCCAAGTTTTAATACATTTGATTTAGAAATTATATCTACTATTTATACTTAGAGGAGGATCTAAGTTTTAATACATTTGATTTGATTTACTATTTATGATAAAGTAAAATGTTGTAGTATAAACAGTAACTTCAAAAATATAGTAGGAGATTTGATTTACTGTTTATGATACAGTAATTTGTTGCAGTAGACGGTCTGGGTGTTGATTTACTGTTCACAGTATAGAAATTGATGCATTATTTACTGTAGCATGAGTAGTGATTTTTTAGATCCTCCTATAAGTATAGAAGAGTAGATATATGATCTAATTCCAAATAGCCATTTTCACGGGGTAATTTCTAGATAAAACAAAACTACGAAGTTGGACCGACACTAATAGGTGGAATAGGGTTCTTTAATTCCGACTGTGAGCACGGCTTTGAAGCCCACGCGGAAACCCCACGCGGAAACCAGGCCCACCCGATTTTTTAATCAATGTCAGGGTATATAAAGGAACAGTGTTCCTAGGTTTTGATTGTGCAGGAGGTTTTGTGTTTCTTATTGCGGCTGCAGGCAGAGGTGCAAGGACTTGATTTTGGGAACAGAAGCAAGGACTTGATTTGCGGCTGGGGATTTCTCTTCGTGTGGCTATGCAAAAGAAAAGGCAGAGGCTTTTTTAGGGTTGTGCATCCTTTTGTGAGAGTTTATTTGTATGAGGGATTTGAGAGTTTGTTTGAGGGTTTAGATTGTGAGTGATTGTAAACCCTAGTTGTATTCTCTCCCTCTATTAGTAGATCTCCCCCCTCCTTGCCCCGTGGACGTAGGCAATTTGCCGAACCACGTAAAAATTGGTTGTACTGTTTTTGTGTGATTTGTAATAGCTTTTAGGATCCCTCGACAGGTCAGTCCTAGAACTGATGAGAGGAAGAGCCGATATCTCACTTGGTTGAGATATCCGCTTCAGATTCTTGTCTCCTTGGTGAGACGGGAATTCTTATTGCGATCTGACTCTCTTGTTGTGCTGCCGAAGTGCTACCGAAATTTCCGCTGCGCGCAACAAGTGGTATCAGAGCCCAGGTTTCAGATCTAGGGTTTTTTTGGTGGAGGAAGATTCTTGTGTGAAGCTTAGTTCTTGGAGTTCTTGGCTTCGGTGGAGATAGCATTAGGAGTTGCCGTTGGAGATTTCGCTTTCCTCGTGTGGTTAGGAAATCTATTTGGAATCCGATCTAGGGTTCAGTTGGGTGGTTCCTAATTCTATCAAATTTGTTCTTTCTCTACAATTTGGAGTTAGTTCGCAATGGGAGAAGAAGGTGAAAGCAGCAAATCGATGGCGGGTACAATACAAGTTGGTTTTCAAAACACCAAAATTAGTGTGGTGAAATATGACGGAAAAATCAACTTTGGTTTATGGATGAGCGACGTACAGGATGCGCTCAATGCTCAAAATTTGGAAGAGACCATCATGGTCCACGAGAGACCACCTAAATATGATGAGACGGTTTGGGAGAAAATGAATAGGAACGCTTGTGGGGTGATCAGGTCCTGTTTGGAACAGGAGCTGAAATATGATGTGATTGGGGTGACGTCTGCAATGAAGATGTGGGAAATTCTCAACAACAAGTATCTCACAAAGAGTGTTGAGAACAGGTTGCACTTGCTGCGAAGACTCTTCAGATTTCAGATGTCCAGAGGCACCTCGCTAGCGGCTCATGTGAACAACTACACTAAGTTGTTGTCGGACTTGGCGAATGTTGATGAGAAGATATCGGATGAGTACAAGGCGATTATTTTGTTGGGCTCCTTACCCGATAAGGAGTATGATACATTCGTGCTCACTTTGTTGAACGGAAGATCTTCTATCAGCTATAGTGAAGTAACTAACGCTTTGACAAATTACGATTTGAGGAGGAAGAACAAGGAGACTTCCCGTGCTAGCACTTCAGGCGAGGCCTTGTCGACGAAAGGCAGAAGCCCATATCCGAAAGGTGGTAACAGAGGGAGGTCAAAGTCTAGAGGCCGCCACCAATTAACAAAGAACCAATGTGCATTCTGCAAGGAGCAGGGACATTGGAAGAGAGACTGCCCGAAGCTCAAGGAGAAGAAGAATGGCAAGAAAAAGGGCCCGAAGGCTAATGAGGTGAATATTGCGAAAGGCGATGATTCCGATGATTCGTGCTTTTCTCTACTGATTACTCCGGAGGTGAACCATGTGGATGCATCAGATTGGATGCTTGATTCCGGCGCTACTTTTCATGTGACCCTTAGGCGAGACTGGTTTGCATCTTTTGAGAAAGTCGACGGGGGTGTTGTTATCATGGGAAATGATCAATCCTGTGGCGTTTGTGGGATAGGTACCATACGGATTAAGATGCACGATGGAGTAGTCTGTGAGTTGAAGGAGGTGAGATTTGTTCCTCAACTGAAGAAAAATCTTATCTCAGTTGGAGCTTTGGAGGCAAAGGGATTCAAGGTGACTTTCAAAAACGTTGTAGCGAAGGTTACTAAGGGATCATTGGTGGTGATGAAGGGAGTCCGCAATCGGAATTTGTATTATCTGAAGGGAAGCACCGAGATTGGCCAGGTTGCTTCGGTTATTTCAGAAGCGGACATGAGCAGACTTTGGCACTATAGGTTGGGGAACACAGGTGAAAAGTCACTGCAGGCATTATGCAAGCAGGGGCTATTGAAGGGAGCCAAGAGTGGGAAGATTGAGTTCTGTGAGCACTGTGTTCTTGGCAAGAAGACGAAGGTGAAGTTCGGGACTGCCATTCATCAGACGAGGGGCATCCTGGACTACGTGCACACAGACGTTTGGGGTCCTACCAAGACTGCATCACTTGGTGGTAGACATTGGTTCGTCACTTTTGTAGATGACTATTCTAGGCGTTGTTGGGTGTACACCATGACCAAGAAGAGTGAAGTCCTAGATTTGTTTGTGGAGTGGAAAAAGAGATTGGAACTGCAGACGGGGAGAAAGATCAAGACGTTACGATCCGACAATGGTGGTGAGTATACTTCAGACCCCTTTTTGCAGCTATGTCGAGACGAGGGCATAGAGAGACACTTCACGGTTAGTCATACACCGCAGCAAAATGGGGCGGCAGAGAGATTGAATCGGTCTTTACTGGAGAAGATCCGATGTTTATTGTTGCAGAGTGGTTTGGAGAAGATCTTTTGGGCTGAGGCACTTACATAGGCGAGCCACCTCATTAATAGGCTGCCTTCATCTGCGATTGAGGGGAAGACCCCTATGGAGAAGTGGTCGGGAAAGCCAGCACATGACTATGACCAGCTCAAGGTATTCGGGTGCCCTGCATATTATCATGTTAGAACTGATAAATTGGAACCTCGAGCTAGGAAGGCCATATTTGTAGGATTCAAGCGTGGTGTCAAGGGATACAAGCTTTGGGATCCAGTTGATAAGAAGATTGTGCTGAGTAGGGACGTCACGTTTGATGAAGCTTCTATCTTGAAGCTTCACAGCTCTCATCAGGTGAAGAGCGACCCGACAGAGGAGATATCGCAGGTGGTGGAGATTGATGCAGCTCCACATTGTCCAGATGGTACAGTATCCATGCAGGTGCCGACTGAATTGACGCCAGGCGAGCACGACGGTGATACGGAGGATACGGGTACTAATGTGCAGGATCAGGAACCGACGGCTCAGGTTCAGGATTCTATTGCGGCTAGGAGACAGAGGAGAAACATACAGATGCCAGCACGGTATGCCGACACAGTTGCGTATGCACTTCCGGTGGAGAGTATCGATGAGTTAGTGCCTACTACATTCAGAGAGGCCGAGCAGAGTTCGGAGGCTGATTCGTGGCAGGTGGCTATGTAGGAGAAGATGGAATCTCTCCATAAGAACGATACATGGGAGCTTGTTGAGCTTCCAAAGGGGCGGAAGGCAATTGGTTGCAAGTGGGTATACACGAAAAAGGAGGGTATTGAGGGCACTCCATTGAGGTTCAAAGCTAGGTTGGTTGCGAAGGGCTATGCACAGGAGGAAGGAATAGATTATAATGAGGTTTTCTCTCCGGTGGTGAAGCATTCTTCGATTCGGATTTTGCTAGCTTTGGTGGCACAGTATGGTTTAGAGTTAGATCAGTTGGATGTGAAGACGGCATTTCTTCATGGTGATCTTGATGAAGAAATATATATGACTCAGCCATTGGGATTCCGAGCTGCAGGGAAGGAAAAATTAGTTTGCAAACTGAAGAAATCGCTATACGGTTTGAAGCAGTCTCCTCGACAGTGGTATAGGCGATTTGATGGTTTTATGATTGGTCATTCGTACACTCGGAGCCAGTTTGATCCTTGCGTATATTTTCGCAAGTTGAAAGGAGGTGCGTACATTTATTTATTGCTCTATGTAGATGACATGTTGGTTGCCTCTATTTCCAGGTCGGCTATAGATGAGTTGAAAGTTCAGCTTTCAAATGAGTTTGAGATGAAGGACTTGGGTGAGGCGAAGCCCATTTTAGGGATGGAGATCGACAGAGACAAGAAGAAGGGCAGAATTTGTTTGACACAGGTGGATTATTTGAAGAAGGTCCTACAGCGATTCCATGTTAGCATGGATACGAAGCCAGTTAGTGTACCATTGGGAGCCCATTTGAAGCTTTCAGTTGGTCTTTCACCGAAGTCAGTTGAAGATCGAGAGTTAATGTCGAAGACTCCATATG